GTCACTTGAAGTTGTCATCCTCTCCTTTCCTTGAGTCTGCAATGATTTATCACAGGCAGGGAAGACTGGATACCAATGTAATATGTCTCTCTGTGGCTACTGAAGAGGGGGAAATTGGAGCAAGAACACCTAGAGTAGTGATTCAAGGCAGAAATGATGATACTTGGGACTGAATGGCCAAGGACACCTCACAGAACAGCAGATTGGAACCCTGGACTCCATCTTCCGACATTGTGGGAGTGATCCTTCACAACACTAGATGGAAGGGGTGTTACATGACATTCTTAGAGTCTGTTTCAACCGTTATAAATCATAGCAGTCCCATGGAGGGCTGCTCAAAGGGCACAGAAAGAAAACCAGAGTTAGGGGAAGAAACGTGTCTGCCTCTGGTGCTTGTCGTTTGAACAAGACCAACAGCTGGGCTAATTGCTTCTTGCAGAGGCATCAGCAAAAAAAAGACTTTTTTTTAAACAAGAGCCTTGCTGATGCTTTTCTCTGTTCAAGCCCAGACAAGATAAACAATCATCTATTCAAACAGAGAAAGTAAAATGATCTTCATTTATGAAACTTTTTCATTAACATACAAATGCCTTCAAGAGATGGGGGGGCTAGATCTTGATAGGATTGAAGAGGCAACTCAAAAAGGAGGCAGTCAAGGGAAGAAGAGAGGGAGATTCATGTTCCTCGGGAGCTGGGGCTTGTGGAACTGCTCACAGTCTGTCAGAAAGGCAGAAGCTGTCAGTCTGAGCCATTAGACTACGTTGTGAAGCTCTCTATGGGGCTTGGGCCAGTAGTTTCCATCCCATATGCCATGCTAAAACAAATGTGAAAATAATGGATTTTACTTCTGTTGCAGTAACCCTAATGACTCCACAAGCTTGTGAGTCCAGGAAAAACAATGGAATTTTGACAGAGACAGAGAGGAAGAAAAGGAAGAGGAAAGAGTCTGTAATTTTAAACTTAATCTCTATGATGTTAGGCTATTGTGTCTACTGTGTTCTGTGTCGCTTAGCCCAGACCTGGTACAGTACATCTTTGTGGACGTCTGTACGGATATAAGTACCAGGCCTCAGGAGTTTTAGGGACCTGTGCTCTGCCTTCAGGGAAGTCAGCATATGAGTTGCTGAGTACTGACAGTTGAGATGAAGTCCATTCAGCTAAAGAGGGTTTGGGTACACAACATTAAATCCCAAAGCTTTTTGGAAGCTATATATCCTCCTCACACCTGCCCTGATTCCCAGTGGTCATCTTCCTCTAGAGCAGTGGTTCTCAACCCGTGGGTCTAAACTCCTTTAGGAGTCAAATGACTGTTTCACAGTGGTCACCCAAGACCTTCAGAAAACACAGATATTTACATTAGACATGATCCTTATTTAGTAGCTGGCTGGTTTTCACCCAGAGGCAAAGCTAAAGAGATGCCTGGCTTCTCCATCCCAGTGTCCACTCACAGGGAAGAAACTGGTTAAGGCCACAGCTCAGCAAGTATACATCCCTGGACTTTAGCTTTGGATGAAACCAGCCCAAATGGGAAGAAGATGGACAACAATAGGTATTTCCAGCAGTAACGTTCTAGATCCCAGGCACACACAAGTTTCTGTAATGATCTCAGCCAGGGATGAGAGCTAGGGAACATCAAACATCAGAAAAGCACCCTATTAAATGGGCTGGTACTCAGGACAGACATCTAGCAAGCTTAGCAAGGTTCAAGCATAACAGCCCACATGTGCTAAGACGTAGACAAACACAAGCACTATCATGCTCTAGGCAGTCAAGACAGGGTGGAGCCCACCTACTTTACACTTGGCAGGGTGAGCACTGGCCCAGTTTAGAAAGAGTGGACCTTCAAGACAGGCTAGTCTTTCTCCTCCTGAGACATAACATGGACTTCACCAATTTCCCTTGAGGGGGTCAGCTGCCACCGGAAATTACATTTAATCTTCCAAACAGAAAGACTTACAGATGTTTACAGAAGTGATGCCTTCATATTTACCAGCCAAAAAGGAAACCAATGCCGGCAGGAAGGATGCACCCTGTCATTACAAAACATGAGGTCCAAGGACTGCAGACTCTGTTTCTCTTTCTTTCCTCTTTCAATCCTTTTCTTCTGTTTTGTCACCCATGGTCACCTTGGTTGCTATAGCCTCCCCACTTTGCTTTTCTTTCTCGGTCTCTCTGTATGCCCCCCGCCTTCCTCTTTCAGAACCTCTTCCTCTCCTCCGTCCATTCTGCATCATGCTTTAAGCTCTGCATTCTCATGGCTCCTAATCTCTCCAGTCTTCATGCCCTTCCTGTAACCCTAGGCCATGGCTCGGTCCTCCAGTTTTTAAGCTAGCAAAGAACTAGAGAGAACTTCTGTAGTTAGCTAATAGTATCGTCCCACCTTGTCCCGCTCCTCAAACTTACAGCCCATGTCCACCTTCCCTTCTCTGGGTGATCATTTTTCACAAGGTCACAGCTGTATGCACTCTGTTTAGAACTCCTTAAGGACATCGTTTGGTGAACCATTGATAAAGATGTAAGGCCACTAGCATGCGTCTGATTATGCCCAGATATGGGAGTACTGAGAATTCAGTACAGCAAGCTCTGGCCCTTACTGCTGACTTCACTACACTCCCATGCTGGATATCTGTGGGAGCATCACTTTTCTTCAGTTTCCTAATCCGTATATTGTGAAATATACAGAGACATGGGGGCCCAGTGAGGTGACACCGTGAGATGATATTTAAAATATTCTAGATCCCCCCAGATGACCAGTTTCTTCACCGTGTTCTACTTGCCTTTACTTTGCCAAGCAGATTGGAAGCCCCATGAAGGAGCCCAGCCATGATTGCCCATAGCTTCATCTCCTTTTCTTGTGTTTCACAAACACCAAACTTCCAGCTAAGAAGATCTCAACATATATATGTCACCCTTACAACAGGTGTCTACAGCCTGTGACAAGGCTCAGGGGTGGCCCCTGTAGTTGCTCCTTTTCACTCAGGATTGTCTAGACTTCATGTACCTTCGCCTGAAGATGCCTTTACGTGGGCCCCAAGAACAGTACCCAGTACCATTTCTGGGAAAACATAGATAAAAAATGCAGCCTTACTCCAGAGCTCTGATTTTGCTGTCTTCATAACAGCTGTCGGTGGCAAAGAATAACATGCAGTGCTCTAGGTTGTTAAGAGGAGGCGGATGAAGAACAGAGAGGGTCAGGTTACTCAGCCTGGAGCCCAGACCAGCACTAACGGCAATAACACCTGCATACACTTTTTTACTCAGATCCACCCGTGTACCAGCCATATTGTTTTCAGCACAGCACCAGTGAGGCCCATAACCTACCTTTGGAATCCTCTCGTTCCTCCAGAAGGCACAAGGAGAGAACCTATGACGCTGAAGATCACTTTCCAGAGAACTGCTCTATTTTAAGCCAGGTAACTCTGTAGGAGGAAAGCAGAACTGGCACTGCGGGATGAACAGAACGCCGGGTTAAGGCGCCTGATGCCGACGCTCATCGCAGTTTTATCGGGTAAAGCAAATGATTAGAGGTCTTGGGGCCGAAACGATCTCAACCTATTCTCAAACTTTAAATGGGTAAGAAGCCTGGCTCGCTGGCGTGGAGCCGGGCGTGGAATGCGAGTGGGCCACTTTTGGTAAGCAGACCTGGAAGCCGAAAGCCGGAAAAAGAGACAGAGACTTCCGTTGTTCAGTCTTTTATACTTTCCTCCTCCGTAACGCCCCCTAGCCATGCCCAAAAGTAGGCCTGGCTAGTGAAGTAGTTAACTCCCACTGTTCCCTGAAACAACTAGCCAGGACTGAGATTTCTTAAGTTATGTCCGGGGGAAAAAAGAGCAGTCAATCTAAATGAAGGCATCATAATTCCTCCTACAGATTTACAAAATGAAAGCATCATAATTCCTCCTACAGATTTACAAAATTCAGGTGAGTTGGAAAGCGGCCTTTTGAATGTCTCCCAGAATGCATCTGCACCCACAGCACCAGGAAGAAAAGCCCAGATTCCTCTCTTGTTCTTCTGCTTCAGAAACTGCCTTGTTTCTTTAGATTGTTTTTTTTTTCTCTTTTTCATGCAAGAAATAAAATCATTAACCACCCTCAAGCTCTCCCAGGACCGTGTTAATTAATCTGATTTGGGACACTTGCCTTCCGTTAACAGTGGTGAGAAGGGAGCCAGCTTCAAGCTCCTGAAATTGAAATCCTTGCCATTAGCCTCTTATGCAAAGCCTCAAGGCTCACTGGTGAAATTGGGAGCCTAGATTGGCCTTATTCTTTTACCCAAGCAATTAATAATGCAGTGGGAGAAAGCAATGCTTGTTCTCCAGGATTCTGATAGAGCCATGACATTATTAATCTTGTCCATCCTGCTGAGTTATGGCACTTTTCCACAGGGTCCAGGGTGAGGGAGGAAGGCGTAGTGGGGGTGCACAGGAGCTCAGGAGAATTTTGCCCATATCCCTTCCTCTGTGAGTAGAAAATTCTGGCTGGTAGTTCACATTAAAAGACCAAATTCTCCTGGTATGAGTGTAGAACTTTCTAATTAATGCTATTCAGAAGGTTTCTCAGTTAACAGATTCATTGTCTCTCACTAGCCTCCTTCTACAAAAAAAATAAATATATAAATAAGAGGCAATGAATGTGACCAGCAAATATGAGATGTGACTTACATAACATTGCTCATGTCAATTATTAAATCCCAAGTTTCTATTATATAGGGTTTCATTTCTTCATCTTTCCATCTTCCTCTTTAAAATTCCTAAAACAGTAATACTTCTAGCCACAGAAAAAAAACACACACACATGCATACATACATGTATACAGACAGACACACACACACATACATACACACACATACATACTTACACACATACACATATACACACATACATACATACACACATACTCACACATGCACACACTCACACACACATACATACACACACATACATACATACACACACACACACTCACACATACATACATACATACACACACACATACATACACACACACACACACAAACACACACACACACCACTAGCACTCAGTATTGCCTTTTCAGCATGTCATGATTCCCACTTTAGATGACTTGAATTCTCCGTTGCTTGGAGATCCTTAATTTCCTTTGATCATGTCTTCTTCAGTATTGCTTACAAATATAGGTGATTTGTTGTAATAGGATGCCACTGAATGGATAACCCATTATGTAGCTATCTATCCATTTTCCTGCTTTGATAACTACAGTGCTAAAATGAACCCACATATATGTGTCACTTGTGTGTTCCCACCAAAGATTCACCAGAAAAAAGAAAGATTTCTGGCTCATAGTATACATACATTTTCAACTTCCTTAGGAATTAGAAAATTGCTTTCTAAATTGCTTGTACTAATCTGCATTCCCACTAGCAGTACAGAATTCTTCTACTCTGAGTGTTAATCAAATGTGTTACCAGTCAATTTTTACTTCTATAGATAGGAAATAACACTACATTTTTATTCTTCTCTCATGAATTACACCCCTACCACACTTTCCCCTCCCTTGTCTGCCCCAAGTCTCTTCCTCCAACCTTTCCTCTTACCCAGACCCACCTCCCTCCCCTCGGAAAAGAGCAGGCCACCCAGGGACATCAACTAAATACTGCATGGTATGCTACAATAAGACCAGGAACATACCATCACACCAAAGCTGTACAAGGTAACCCAGTAGGAGGAAAAGGGTCCCATAAGTATGCAAAACAATCAGTGAACACCCCAGCTCCTACTTTTAGGAATCCCACAAGGACACCAAGCTACTCAGCCTTAACATATATGCAGAGGACATCAATCAGACCATTATAGGCTCTCTGATGTCTGTGAGTCCCCATGATTCCTGATCGACTGATTTTGTGGGCCATGTTCTCATGGTGTTCCTGACCCCTCTGGTTCCTGTAATCCTTTCTTCTCCTCCTCAGCAGCATGGCCAAAGCTCCACCTCATGCCTGACTGTAGGACTCTGCATCTCCTCCCATCAGCTGATGGATGAAGTCTTTCTGGTCTCTGATGAAGCTTCTGCTAGGCTGTGGTCGCAGAACACTCTGCAGGCAGGAAAAACTATAGGTCAAAGGTTTTATGACTGGGTTGGTGTCCCAATCCTCCCACTTGAGGCCTTGACTGGTATAATATTGCATTTTAAAAAATCTTTTTATCGGAGGGTCATTTTTTATTTAAAAATATTTTCCATTTTATATACCAACCCCAGTCCTCTTCCCCTTCTTCCACCCCCACACCCCCCTTCCTACCCCTCCACCCACTCTCCAGAGGAGGGTAAGGCCTTCCTTGGGGAGTCAACAAAGTCTGGCATACCAAGTTGAGGCAGAACCAAGGCCCTCCCCTCTGTATCAAGGTTGAGCAAGATATTCCTCTTTAGGGAAATGGCCCCCAAAAGCCAGTTTATGTCCCTAGAATAGGTCTTGGTGCCACTGTCAGAGACTTCCCCAACAGATCAAGTCACATAACTATCACCCACATTCAGAGGGTCCAGTTCAGTCCCATGTAGGTTCCCCAGTAGTCAGTCCATAGTCCATCAAATCCCACTAGTTTGGGTCAGCTGTCTCTGTGGTTTTTTCTATCATGCTCTTTACCTTGTCCGTATGATCATTCCTCCTCTCATCAACTGAATTCCAGGAGCTCAGCTCAGTGTTTGGCTGTATATCACCAAATCTGCTTCTGTCAGTCACTGGATGTAGGTTCTGTGGTGACAATTAGGGTAGTCACTAATATGATTAAAGGGGAAGGCAAATTCAGACATCCTCTCCACTATTGTTAGGAGTCTTAGCTGGGGTCATCCTTGTAGATTCCTAAGAAATTTTCTAGCACCAGGTTTCTCCCTAACCCCATAATGCCTCCCTCTATCAAGATGTCTCTTTCACTGCTCTCCCCCTCTGTCCCTCCCCTAGCTCAGTCTTCTTGATCCCTCATGTTCCCATCTTCCACCCCCTCCCTTCTACTCCCCTCCCAGTTTACCCAGGAGATCTTAACTATTTTCCCTTCCTGGGGCCTTCCATGTTTGTCCCTCTTATGGTCTACCTTACTTACCTAGCTTCTCTGGAGTTGTGGATTGCGGCCTGGTTATCTTTGCTTTACATCTAATATGCACTTATGAGTGAATACATACCCTGTTTGTTTTCCTGAGTCTAAGTTACCTCACTGAGGATGGTTTGTTCTAGTTCTCTCCATTTGCCTACATTGTGAGCCACCATGTGGTTGCTGAGAATTGAACTCAGAACCTCTGGAAGAACAGCCAGTGCTCTTAAAAGCTGAGTCATTTCTCCAGCCTGCATAACATTGCATTTTTGGGTTAATTTCCTTGATTTTATCTGAGGTTATGAATCAACTGTTTGAGGGTGTTTTATTTTTCATCCCTCTTGTTATTTTGATTTCTTCCTCTATAAAGTGTTAGTTCACATATTTTGGCCTATTTTTCTCTACCGGTTTGACCATCCATCAAGTGTCAAGCTGAGATTAATGTAAAGATCAGTTTCTACATTTGCTATGTGAAATTCTATTCAACTAACTCCCTGTAAATATCACTCTTAATTATTGTGACTTCTTAAAAGTTAATTGTATGAATTTCCACTTAGTCAAAATCAAAATGTAGTCACCTACATTTCTCTTAGAATTTTATTTTTAATATATTTTTAAGTTTCTAATTATGTATATGGGTAGGATATATGTATGAGTGTAGTTGCCCATAGAGGCCTGAAGAGGACATCCCTGAAGCTGGAGTTGAGATGGTTGCAAACTATTTGACAAAAGTGCTGAAAACCAAACTTAAGTCTTCTTTAAAAATAGCAGGCATGAGCAAGGAGGAGGGGTCAAGATCCTGACAGGGAAACCCACAGAAATAGCTGACTTGAGCTCTTGGGAATACACAGACTCTGGACCGACAGCTGGGAACCCTGAGTGGGTCCGACCAAGCTGGGCTCTGCATGTGGGAGACAGCTGTGTGGGGCTTAGTCTGTTTGAGGGACCCCTGGCAGTAGGACCAGGATTTAAACTTAGTGCATGAGCTGGCTTTTTGGAGCCCATTCCCTATAGTGGGATACATTGCTCAGCCTTGATGCAGAGGGGAGGGGGCTGTGCCAGGCTTTGTTGACTCCCCATGGGAGGCCTTACCCTTTCTGAGGAGTGGATAGGTGGGGGAGGGAGGTATGAAGTAGTGGGAGGAGGGGAAGGAGGCAGAACTGTGGCTGGTATGTAACATGAATAAAAAGTTTAAAAGAAAAAAATATCAGGCATTCTTAATCACTAGTCCTGTCTCTAAAGGCTTTTGAAAATACTAAATGGAAACATACTACTGTAGATGCTTCTTAACATGTACATATAGACATATAGGTATGCATATTTTTCTGAAAGAACTTAAATGGAGTTATCCTATAACAGAAATACAGTGCCTTCACCATATACAAGGGCTAGTAGATGAAGTCTAAAGCCAGGTATGAGTTATTTCTTCTTCAATTGCTGCTCAGTGAAATCCCACAGACCACCCTGCCCCCCCCCAAATTACAGGCTATTGCCATTGTTCTTGGATAGACTCCAGAGATTAATGGTAAGATCCTATCACTTGGGGCTGGAGAGATTACTCAGTGGTTAGAAGCACTTGTTCTTTCAGGAGACATGTGTCCAATTTCCCAACAGCAACATGGGAATTCCCAATCTCTGTAACCCAGTCCCTGAAAATGCAACATTCTCTTCTGACCTCTGCAGGTACTAGGCATGCAATACATGCTTGCAGGCAAAACACACTTTAAAAAAGGGAATCTGATAAATAAATAATAATCTTATTGCTGAAGATACCCATAGTTGAGTCACAGGACATGGAGAAATCATGCTGGTAGCAACCTTCACTGCTATTGACTAGCTAGGGTAGGGAGTGGGAAAAGTCTTACCCAACTGTGAACCCTATAAGCTATAATAATAACTGGTCTGGAAAGATAATCCCACTGGTACAATAGTAGCAAGAATGTTGTGGGACAAACAAACCACTTGTGTTTAAAGCCCACTCCACAAGATGGAACTCAAATCTGATACTGCTAATTCAGACACGTATGACTAGCTGGATTATAGAATAAAGGGAAGAACGTAATACTGTTATTTTGTTAAATGGACAGACAGCCAGGCAGGGCACACATGTCTTTAATCTCAGCACTCAGGAGACAGAGACAGGTGAATCTCTGTGAGTTCAAGGCCAGCCTCATCTACACCATGAGTTCCAGGTCAGTCAGGCTGTGTAGACAGACCCTGTCTCAAAAATAGTAAATAAGTGAACTGTCCCTAGGTTCTTATCTTTATATGCATATATTAGTGTATCTCCCAACCTTGATCAGTGATGCTTCTTTTTTATAGTAGAGGACAATTAAAACAGAGACCAACAACCATGTAATGTGCAGAGAATAAAAGACTTCAGAGTGCTCAGCTTTAAATAGAACAACTTTATCATATCCCTATGATCAAGGCTCAGGGTTACCCCTGACAAGGGGAGTGGAAAAACTATAGAAACCTTTGCTTCACATGACAGTGCATTGTTCACATAAACTCTGAGCAGCTGTAGCAGCATGCACTAGACCTACAGAAGATCAAGCCAACCAAAATCCCAGCACTGATTGCATAGACATACAGAAAATCCCACGGCTATCTGAGGTTGGCTGCTGGGGGAGAGAGGCTACACATGCTCCAGGACACTGTCTACACGCATCACGATCAGTGGACATAATGAATATTTGAAAAAAAGTACATGAAGATGGAGAGAAATGATACACAGCTGGAAAGAACAGGGGAAAAATAGGAGGGAAGAGAAAGGGGATTAGGTTAGATCAAAAGTCATCATATGACTGCATGAAATTCTCAAATAATAAAGAAAAAATTTAAGATCGACACATTAATTTCTGTTATATATTACTGAAATTTTGATTAGAATATCACTTTATAATATGAAATAATAACTATCTTCAGAGTAATGATTTTTCCTATCACTAGGGTTTCTGCTAAATCTTTTGAGTTTTTATTATTTTAATTCTAACACCACAGTTTTGTCTCCATACTTGTATTTTTCTAAATATTCTAATGTCTTCTGTTTATTTTTGTTTTGTATGGGCATGCAATTAGTTTGAAGTACTAGTATATATTTAAAATCATTCTGGAATATTTTATTTGTGATATCTTTTAACTACTCTATGCAGTACTTTTTAAAAAAGAAGAAATGTTAGTTTCAGTTTTTCATTTTAAATTTTTATTTCACCTTTTTTGTAATACTGTCAGTCAAAAATGACTGAGTAGTGTGAATTTTAGGATTCAAATGATTATTAGCATATTTCCTCAATCTTCCAGTACAATGTTAAATATAAATCATAATTGAGGGTAATTTTGATTGGTTGTTGACTTCTAAGATAGTCCTTTTACTATTTCAACATTAAGCAGGATGAAAACTGCAGGCATTTAGTAAATGGCATCTTCGATTAAGATATGTTTGTTTCCATTTCTATTTTAAAAGATTTTCACAAGTTGGAAAGATGGCTCAGCAGTTTAAGACACTTGCCACTAGGGTTGCAAGCCTGAGTTTAATATCTGGAGCCAAAAGATGGAAAGAGAGAAAAAGCCAACTGTTCTCTCTCTCTCTCTCTCTCTCTCTCTCTCTCTCTCTCTCTCTCTCTCTCTCTCTCTCTCAGCAATAAATACTTTAAGTTGATAAAACAATTACTATAGATTTTCAATTATAGTTTTTCAATTAAAATAATCTCTACATTCTTGAATTCTTGAAAGAATGTACAAACATGCTCCTTTATCTCTGTGGCTTAACAATCTCTCCCTGCCCCGAGTCCCCTCCCTGTACTTCTCCCCATCCTCCTTTCCCTCTTCACATATTCATAGTCACAGATTTCTAGGTTCAGGTTGTGTTCATTCAGTATTTTACCCTCTCTAATCATAGTTAGCACACATATTTTTTCTATATGCTTCTTTTGCCTGACTTTAAAATCAAAATAAAATTAATTGGACACTTCTTTTCTCTTCTGATTCTCTGAAAATCTTTGCATAAACATTATCAATTCCACAGTGGTGTAAAATGTTTCTATAGAAAGTGGGAATCTATTCTTCATCATGATTTAGTGGTAGAACTAATTTTTAATAACAGATTGATTTTTTATGAATCAATTTGTCAGATTATACTTTTCCAGAACTCTGCTTTTGTTTTTGTTTTTTTTTATCCAGTGTTTCAATTAAACCAATGGGAAGCTACTCATGATTTCCTTTACATCATGTCAGCTTAGGGCCCCGGAATCTTTCAGTGAAATAAAAACCCTAGAGTGTAAGAGCCACGGGCAGAGTCACAGAGCCCAGAGTAGGAGGCAATTTTCCCACTGCCTGCCTGTCTCTGTATCAGAGGGGACATTATGTCTGGCCTCATTCTCATCGTTGTGCCTTTACTGCTCTATGCAAAGGTCTCAGTTCCAACCCTGGCCCTATGTGGCAACACGACTCTCTTCCTTCTGTGTGTTAAAGCTCACACTCCCATTTGTTGAGGTCTGCTATCTCCTTCCTCCTACCCACTGCAGCCAGGCGAGAATGAGCCCCCATCCTTACCACTCTGGTTTTCAGAAGTCCTTTAATATCTATCATGTACCAATTCCCTTCCTTTGTTATAACTACAACATTGAATTTTAAAGAATGCTGAGCAATCTTATAAAGCATTTCTTCTGCTGAAACAACAACAATCTTCAGCCTATACCTGTGTCAGGTACTACAAAATGATAAGGACTTCACTGGCTCCCACCAAAGCATCAGCATTCTGGAATATGAGGAGGCAAGCACAAAAAGACTTCAAATCCAGGAATATGCTCAAAGCTTCACCAAGCTAGACACAGACTTGATAGATGCGTAAGAGTTAATTATACAGAACTGGAGCAACAGAAGAATTCAAGCTTTGATGCAAATATATTTTCACAGTGTGGATTTGAAACAACTGCAAGTGACAGAAAATTGAAGAAAAAACAATGAAGGAAAAGATTTTGAAGAAAATAGGACACAAGGAAGGTAAACAAGAAACAACCATGAGATGGGTGAAAAGAGTCAGTGGATAAGGGCTTCCAGAAGTGAGGTCATTTCTTCAGCTTTGTGAAAACACTAAGATTCCCTCAAAATAGTCATCGCAACTATTGAATCCAAACAGACTCTGCTTGAGTCTGTGTAATTGGTGCTGTGACAAGAGACTGTTGGTGAAGTGGCTGGATCTTACCCAGAAGCTGTCCACTCCAGCACAATTGAGATACAAGATGTCCTCAATCAGAAACCCAGTATCTGAGCAATGACGAAATTGTAGAGAATGTCAAGCCCAAGGTGAGATTAATGTGGTCCCTCAGCAGCATCAATGTTGGTTAGACTCTAACCCACTCTACACACAAGTTAAGCCTGCTCTCCCCCTGCAAAGTGGATCAGGAATATTTTTATTCGTGAAATGGGTAAAAACAGAGAAGGAAAACCCAGTGCTCAAGTTATAAATGTAGCTTTTATAGCTGGCACAAGAGTCTCGAACACAGCGGTAAAGGGACAAAGTCAAATGCATACTAAAGTGTTTCCTTTTGTCTTCTCATTTTGGTCCAAGACTGAAGAGGGTGATACAATAATTGTGAGCTAAATCCTTCTTGAAGGAAGTACATTGTTGGGTGATCCTAGACAGATGAGAGGATCAGAGCCCACTCCTAAGGAATAAACATGACTCAACACCAAGCCCTTTGAACAATTGCGTCCAGGAGTGAACATCTCAATTATCTAACCAAAGACATTTTAATTGCTAAGATCTGAACATGTAAAGCAAGTATTGAAAAAATCTCTCACCTTCCCCCTGCTCTGCAGAGAAGGAGCCAGTGAAGGTTACCACAGAAGCAAAGGTTGTTCATCGTGGGGTTCATACCTTCCAGTTGCCTGGCAATAGATTCCTCTGGAGGAAAAAAATGTGAGAGTGAGAAGGCCTAATGACATTAAATATCCCTACACCCATGTAAGTAAAATTTCTAGATCCAGTTGTGAGACTTTCTTTTCACTATGTCCTACTTTTCTTGTCAGATTTTACTAGGACACAGATTTCATTCAAACTCTGTTTCAGTTGGTGAAAGAGGGGAATGTATCATGACAGAAATGCAATGTTTTCCTTTAACATTCTTCTGCAGACATAGGAAAACATCATAATGAATGAGTCTGCTAAAAACTTAAGTTGCTGAAGTAAGGTGTAGAGAGTATAAAGGGGAAAATAAGGAAGATATTTATTCCCACCTTCTGCCATTCACTCACCATACAGTAACATTGTAAGTCCTTCGCAATAAAAGAAGGAGGGACCCCTGGCAGTGGGGCCAGGATCTATTCCTGGTGCAGGAGCGAGCTTCTTGGAGCCCATTCCCTATGGAAGGACACCATACTCAACCTTGATAAAGGGGGGAGGGTCTTGTTCTTGCCAGGCTTTGTTGACTCCCCACGGGAGGCCTTACCCTTTGGGAGAAGTAGATGCAGGTGGGCTTGGGGGAAGGCTCTAAATGACCAGTGTTGTCACTTATCAACTATATCTGTACTGATGTTTTAACGCCATGTCACTCAAGAAAAATTTTCCTGGCAGTTGTTTGTGCCAGCTATTGCTTTTATAAGATATAAAGGAAAGGTCTGTCTCCTCAACCTCCCCTCTGTTGACTGGATTTGTGAGAGAGGAGACATTGCACAGAGTCAACATTGTATTATTTTCTATCTTTCTGGAGTTGTTGTGTGAGGTGTTTGAGGACAGTGAGGACAGATGGAAGATGAAGATGGCTGGAGCATGGGTAAGAATCAGAAAGGGTGTCCTGAGATGGTAACCTGAGTCTAAAGGGAAGAGAGGCTTTCCTCAGAATGTGAGCCAGGAGAAGACAACAGAACCATGGACTAATGATACATAAAGCATAAAGACTCAAGTTAACTGATGTGCATAGGGGGAAAAAGGGGGCAAACCAAAAGATAGTGTGCTACAATGTCATGACAGTATGAATCTAGACACAAGAACACTTTATATTGATGTATTGTTACTGTTTTTATCTTTTTCTGTGTGTATGTTTCTTTTAGTTTGGTTTTCTGGTTGGTTGTTTATTTATTTTTGTTTTTGAAATGGGATCTTATGTAGCCCAGACTAGCTTCTAACTGACTAAATAACCGAGGTGGTCTTGAAATTCTGATCTCCCTTCATCCACCTCCAGAGTGCTGTGGTTACGATGTATATCACCACACACAATTTATGCAGTTCTGGAAAATGAACTCGTTGCTTCCTACATGCTAAGCTATACCTACTCAGCTACACCTCCAGCCTTGGCTTGTAACTCTACCATGAGCAGCTCAGGTTAACATTTCAATTATCTCCGTCTTCTTTTCAAAAGACTGTAGAAGAAAAGTCCCTCACATGTGAATGCTTTTCTCCAGCCTCCTGTACTAAATGTATCCCTGCCATAAAGAAATCATCGAACGACAAATGTGCTGCAGACTATCTCAATGTCTCTTTGACATTCTAAGCCCTGAACCATTAAATTAATTTCATCTTACATAACCTGCCATGGGTCTAACCTTCAATCAAAGCTGAATTAAAGTTTCTACACAAGTTGTAGTTGCTTCAGCTTTTTTGTAATTTTCCCCTGTATAATGTATTTTATTCTGTTTTCTAGTTTATCTGTAAACTTCTATTTGTGTTTCCTGTAAATAATTTAAACAAAGACACAACAAATTCAACACAACTGACAATCTTTGAAGTTTCATTGCATGTTTAGCCCACATACACTTATTGTACTATGTATGATTTCCTTTAAATATACCATATTAAGTATCTCTGTTTAATACTATATATAATTACTTTTGACCTTTTTAATTTTTTATTTTAGAAACAATCTTATTTTGCATATAAATCCCCCCATTCCCTCACCCACCCATCCTTCCATGCCCCCACTGACCTCTGCAACCCACACACTCCCCAAGGATGGTGAGGCCTTCCACGGGGCATCATCAAAGTCTGTTACATCATTTGGGGGAGGATCTAAGACATCTTTCCTGTATCTGCAATAGTATCCTTCCATAGGGAATGGGCTCCCAAAGTCCATTTGTGCACTAGGGATAAACACTGGATCCTCTGTTAGAGGTCCCATAGACTAGCTGGCACCCACATTCAGAGGGCTTGGTTCGGTCCAATGCTGGTTCTCAAGTTTTATGGCTGAGGTCTCTATGTTCTCACTAGGTCAGGTCAACTGTTTCTGTGGGTTTCTCCAGCATGGTCTTGGCTCCTTTGCTCATCACTCCTCCCTCTCTACAACTGGATTCCAGGAGTGTGACTCAGTGCTTAGCTGTGGTTACCTGTTTCTGCCTTGATGAGCTAATGGATGAAGGCTCTAGGATAGCAATTAAGGTAGTCATCAATCTCATTATAGGGGAAGGGCATCAAAGGCAACTACTACCTAGATTCTTTGTTAGGTTCATCCTTGTGGATCTCTAAACATTTCTCTAGTACCAGATTTTTCTTTAAACCTATTCTGGCTCCCTTTATTAAGGTGTCTCTTTTGTTGCTCTCCTCTATGGAAAATTCTCTATTTAGTTCTGTACCCCACTTTTTGATTGGATTGTTTGGTGTTTTGGTGGCTAGCTTCTTGAATTCATTGTATATTTTGGAAATCAGTCTTCTGTCAGATGTGGGGTTGATGAAGATCTTCTCCCATTCTGTGGGCTGCCATTTTGTCTTGTTGACTGTATCCTTTGTGTTATAGAAGCTTCTCAGTTTCATGAGGTCCCATTTGTTGATTGTAGATCTCAATGTCTGTGCCACTGGTATTATGTTCAGGAAGCAGGTTCCTGTACCAATTTGTTCAAGGTTAGCTCTCACTTTCTCTTTTAAGAGGTTCAGTGTGGCTAGATTTATGTTGTGGTCTTTGATCTATTTGGACTTAGATAGATATGGATCTATCTCTTAATCCTCTACATGTCAGAATCCAGTTATGCTAGCACCATTTGTTGAAGATGCTTTCTTTCTTCCATTGTATAACTTTATCAAAAACCAGGTGTTCATAGGTATGTGCATTAATATCAGGATTTTCAATTCAGTTCCATTGGTCTATCTGTCTATTTTGTGCCAATACCAAGCTGTTTTCTATAATAGAGCTTAAAGTCATGTTTTTTGCTTTTCCATATAATGTTGAGTATTGTTCTTTCAAGATCTGTGAAGAATTGTGTTGGGATTTTGATAAGGATTGCATTGAATCTGTAGGTTGCTTTTGGCAGGATTGCCATTTTTAATATGTTGATCCTACTTATCCAAGAACATGGGAAAATTTTTCCATTTTCTGGTATCTTCTTTAAGTTCTTTTTTGAAGACTCAAAGTTCTTGCTATACAGGTCTTTCACTTGTTTGGTTAGTGTTTCGCCAAGATATTTTATTTGTTTGTGGCTATTGTACAAGGGTTATGTTTCTCTGATTTCTTTCTCAGCCCATTTATCGTCTGTGTATAATAGGGCTACTGATTTTTTTAGTTTATCATCTGTAGGAGTTCCCTGGTAGAGTTTCTCAGGTCGCTTATGTAAACTATCATATCATCTGCAAATAGTGAAAGTTTGACTACTTCCTTTCCAATTTGTATCCCCCTTGTTCTCCTTTTGTTGTCTTATTGTTCTAGCTAGAACTTCAAGTGCAATATTGAAGAGATATGGAGAGAATGGACAGCCTTGTCTTGTTCCTGATTTTAGAGGAATCACATAGAGTTTCTCTCCATTTGGTTTGATATTGGCTGTCGGTTTGCTTTTATTATGTTTGGGTATGTTCCTGTTATCCCTGATCTCTCCAAGACCTTTATCATGAAGTGGTGTTGGATTTTGTCAAAGGCTTTTTCAGCATCTAGTGAGACAATCAGGTGGTTTTTCTTTTGCAGTTTGTTTAAATGGTGGATTACATTAATGAATTTTCATTATGTTGAACTATCCCTGCATCCCTGGGATGAAGCCTACTTGATCATGGTGGATGATTTTTCTGATGTGTTCTTGAATTCTATTTGCCAGTATTTTGTTGAGTATTTTTGCATCAATGTTCATGGGGGATATTGGTCTGCAGTTCTCTTTCTTAATTGTGTCTTTGTGTCTTAGGTACCGAGGTAATTGTAGCCTCGTAAAAAGAGTTTGGCAATGTCCCTTCCGTTTCTATTGTGTGGAATAATTTGAGAGAGCACTGGTATAAGCTGTTCTTTGAATTTCTGATAGAGATTATACACTGAAACCATCTGGCCCTGGACTTTTTTGGTTTGGGAGACTTTTGATGATTACTTCTATTTCATTAGGGATTATAGGCCTATTTAAATTGCTTATCTGTTCTTGATTTAATTTTGACACGTGATATGTATCCAGAAAATTGTCCATTTCATTTAAATTTTCCAATTTTGTGGAGTACAGGTTTTCAGATATAATCTGGTGATTCTCTGGATTTCCTCAGTGTCCATTGTTATGCCCCCCTTTTTATTTCTGATTTTGTTAATTTGCATGTTCACTGTTAGCCTTTTGGTTAGTTTGGATAAAGGTTTGTTTATTTTGTTGATTTTCTCAAAAAAAACTCTTTGTTTCATTTATTCTTTGCATTGTTTTCTTTGTTTCTACTTTATTGATTTCAGTCCTCAATTTGATTATTTCCTGGTATCTACTCCTCTGGGGTGAATTTACTTCTTTGTGTTCTAGAGCTTTCAGCTATGCTGTTAATCTCTAGTGTAACTATTCTCCAGTTTCTTCATGTGAGCACTTAGTGCTATGAACTTTCCTCTTAGCACTGCTTTCAAATTGTCTCATAAGTTTGGGTATACTGTGTCTTTATTCTCGTTAAATTCTAGGAAGTCTTTAATTTCTGTTTTTTGTTTATTCCTTGACCCAGGATGGTACAATTGCACATTGTTCTATTTTCATGAGTTTGCAGCTTTCAGCAATTTGTATTGTTATTGGATTCTAACTTAAATCCATGGTGTAGTAGGAAACAGGGGGTTATTCCAATTTGTTTTGTATCTGTTGAGGTTTGCTATGTTGCAGAGTATGTGGTCGATTTTAGAGAAGGTTCCTTGTGGTGCTGAGAAGAATGTATATTCTTCTGTGTTTGAATG